TAGTGAGCCTGACACCAAGTTTTTCCGTATGTCCGGCACATACAACACATCATTCAGCGTGAGCTCCTTGCCGGATGTCATCTTGAGCTTAACTTTGCCCACGCCTTGAACCTCGGATTGGGCGGAGTTGCCCATCCACACCTTGTCGCCAGAAGTCTCCTTAAAGTCAAAGAGCATGGCCCGATTGGAGCAGATATGACGAGTGGCTCCAGTGTCAACCCACCACTCTTTCGGGTTAGACCCGACCAGGTTGACCTCTGTCACGACAGCACAAAGATCCATAGCATCTAGCTCCGAGCAGAGAGCTTCTTCCTTCTTCTGCTTCTTCTTCTGAGGCTTCTTGCGGCACTCTGAAGAACGGTGGCCCGTAATGCCACAGTTGTAGCATTTCCCTGCGAATTTGGGCTTCGCGACGCCTCTTTTAGGACCAATTTTCTTCTTGTCCTTATTTGGCTTGGGCCCTTTGGAAGAACCCTCTTTGGGTGGATGCTCCACCACATTGGCCTTAGCAACAGCTACTTTTTTCTCGCGAGTGAGACCCTCTTCACGGATCCGGAGACGAACAAGCAACTGTTCTAAAGTCATTTCTTTCCGTTTGAGCTTGAGATAGCTCCGGAACTCATCCCAAGCCGGCGGGAGCACATGAATAATTGCCGCCACTTGGAATGCCTCACTGACCCCCATTCCCTCGTCAGTGCACTCATTAAAAATGAGAATCAATTCTTCAGCTTGACTGACCACGGGTTTGGAATCCACCATCTTGAAATCCAAGACCTTACCGACTACGAATTTCTTCGCACCGGCGTCCTCGGCCTGTTATTTGTTGGACAGTGTAGTCCATAACTCCTTTGCGGATGCAGCCCTGCTATAAACAGCATATAAGGCATCGCTCAAGCAATTCAGGATAAGGTTAAGGCACGTATAGTTATTCGCTATACATGCCTCTTTAGCCTGAACTGTTGGCTCATCCGCGGTTTCCCCCACAACAGGGGGATCCTCCCTCAAATACCTCGCAAGGTTGAGGGTGGTCAGCCAAAATAACATCCTTTGCTGCCATATTTTAAATCCAACACCTGTGAACTTTGCCGATTCTTTGACAGAGTTCGCAGGCAGCATGACAGTAGGATGTCCGACCGGTGCGGATGTGAAGACACCCGTGTTCGGTCCAAGTGAGGGAATGACCGGTATGGCCGAAGCCATATTCGGTCCTAGTGGGGTGACCATTGCGGCCGTAGCCGCGGTTGGTCCAATAACCGACGTGACCGGAGCGGACCCCATAGTCGCGCTCGATCCAACGAAGGTGGTGATCGGAGTGGACCCCATGGCCACACTCGATTCGAAAGGAATGTTGATCGGAGTGGTCTGCCCAACAGAGCCACCCAATCCAGCCGAAACGTTCACAACCGGAGTCTAGGAACTACTCCCGTTTCCGGTGTGAGCGTCAAAACCGAATCCGTCCATACCCGCCATTGCGCACGGATATGACTACTACCTTAAGATTGTTACAATTCTCGTACGGATTACAACGGACGGGGAAGACGAATGGCCCCGGAAATAAAAAAAATAAATAAAATTCTGAATTTATAATTTATTCTGAATATTACAAAATAAACAAAGTTGAAAATAAACTTCTATATCTTCAAACGGCCTTGTTGTATGAGGACATTAAGGACTAGACAGCGAGGACGTTAAGCACTAGACAGCAAGGTCATTAAGCTCTGGACAGCGAGGTCTTTAAGCACTGGACAGCGATTCAAGGACGTTATGCACAGGGCTGCGAGGGCATTATGCACTGGGCTGCGAGGACATTATGCACTAGGACAGAATGCAGCGAGGTCTTTATGAACTGAACCTGCAAAATCACAACACCGTGGAAGGACAGCGGAGTCACCGGAGCTGTCCTTAAGGTAGTAGTGCCCGCCTACCGTACCGGAAAACGTGGGCACTCTCCTCCCAGGATAAAACCGCTATCGTGTGTGGAGATTGTACGGACCAACCACACACCAACGAACAAGAACAACGTAGGAACGTTGATGACCGGAAAATATGAAGGTAATCGCCGGAAAATTGGCAAGAAAACCAAGAGCTCCCCTCAAATTTAAACAAGGACAAAAGTGTTAACTTTTTCCTTCTCCTCTTTTTTTTCCACGTATGGATGCTCTAAAAAAATGAGAAGAGTCCTTCCATTTAAATAGGCATTTTCATGGCTCTTCATTTTGTAACTTATATGCCATGAAGGCACATTCAATAGCCATGACTCACCATCATTAGTAATATTTTTAATGGTGTGTTAATACCACCATTAACATGGGGGTTACACCCATAATGTTTAAAATTCTTCCTATTTAATTGGAGATTAATGGCCAGTTAACTCCGTAAAAGTGGAATAATTTTAAACATTACGTAACGGGTTAACTCTGAGAATCAATTTCTCATTCACCCTTCTACCATTTTTGGCGTAATATTTGTCAAAACATTTATCTCATTTAAGAGAGCACACGTCCATTAATTAATGGTTAAAACCGTTAGTGGACCTATTGACAAATATACCCAAGTTGGTCCATTTAATGCCTATTAAAATGCCAAAAATTCCAACACTCGGGTCACTCAGAGTGGGGTGTTACATTTTGGTATAAGAGAGTTTGGTTTAGAAAATGGTCTTCTGACCTGACTCTGAAAAAAATAGAGGAAAGAAACATTTTGTAGAAAACGAATAAGAGAAGAATTATTTTTTTGAAAGATAATAATGGTTTTACATGTACGACTCCGTCTCTATGCTTCCTCTAAGTAGGTATCTTATATTGGTTTTAAATTAGTGTGAATACGAATTCGATATTAGTTGCTAAAATAGAAATATAAGACATTACTTTAGTATTACCACATTATTCAATAATGTGGTAATAGTCTATATTAAAATTTAGATATGATAATGCATATGATACAAAATATTTTTTTAAAAAAAAAATTTAAAATTCAGATCTCCATAATCAAGAAATATAAAATCAATTTCTTCAACTTCATCTCCCCACCCTTCCATTACAAATCTTTCATATTCATCAAAGAAATTCAAGGGGTGGGGAGGAACCAAAGTAGCACGAAAAAAAAGGCACAGTGAAGAAAAAAATGAATTGATGTCTAATTAAGAAGAAGAAAGAAAAGAAAATTAGGGGTGCGGGGGTGGAGGGAAAAAGAAATGGAAAAGAAAGAAGAAAATGACCAAAAAATTACTCACGGGTGACACGAGTTTTTTCGAAATAACTCTCAGGTCCCTCTATTTTCAAGAAGATAACGGAGGTCCTTACATTTTGTTGTAATGACTGGCAGGGGACATTCCATCCAATATTTCATCCATAAACGTTAATAAATGTATTTCTTCCTATTTTTTCCTTAATGTTTTATGGTAATAACTCTTAGGTCGCTCCTTTTTTTTATTTCTTTGTTTTTCTTTTTTTTTGTTACTGTTTTTTAAAGTGTTTTTTTAAAATTTCCTTTATAAAATCGTATAAAAATTCAAAATTATTTGTATGATATAGAAATAAATGAAATAAAAAAATTTTCTAATAAAGAAAAAACCCAGTAATGGCAAAATAGGAAAAAATGGTAATGGCAAAATAGGAAAAAATGTGTTTATTACTACGTAACTCTTATGGATGAAGTATAGGATGAAATGTCCCCTCCCAGTCATTACAACAAAATGTAAGGACCTCTGTCGTCTTCTTGAAAATAGAGAGACCTGAGAGTTATTTCGACAAAATTCACGTCACCCATGAGTAATTTTCTCGAAAAGGACGGGCAAAGAAAGAAGTAGAAAAGAAGGATAAAAGAGTCTTTTTGAAAGAAATTATTTATCAAATAAAGAAACAGGATAAATCAAGTTAGACAGTGTAGAAAGAAAAGTGAGAATAAAGACATAAGAGGGAGGGAGTATAAAATTTTGGCAACATTATTATTGTTGCTTTTTTTCTGAATTTTTTTACTTTCTGAGAAGAGTTGAAAAAACAATATAAATTTTTACTTTATCCTTCATGAAAATGGGATGGTGTGTTATAAATGAAGAGAATGAGGATAATTGTGACATTTCAAATATAAAAAAAGAAAAGAAAATCGAGTAACGAAAGACGAAAAATATGATTTAGGAAAATCATTTTCAAACAGAAGAGACATTATAGTGTTTTTAATGGGTAGGGTTGCGACAGCTCGAGGACTTGAACATAAAGCCTAACCCTTAAGTTTATGGGCCTCCTTTTATTACGTACGAGACAAGCAGAGGCCTATAACCCAAAAATCTAAATACAAACCCGCTATTTACAAGAATTTTTTGCAGATTGGAAAAGTTCTTGGATCCGTGGTCATGTCAAATCCTAATAAGTCCCTGGAAAAATTTAATCGACACGAATAATTAATTGTTAGTGGGCATGCATAGTTGGCAAGGGGACTCAAGAAGGCAACACCCAAATTCGATTCTTAGAATTACTTGGAGACAACTATACTAATCATAGAAGCTCTACAAGTACCAGATGTAGACTCTACTCTTTGCCAACAATATATAATTAAACCCAATTTATCTCTTCTCACATTCCCATGGACAAGCACTAGGCCAAATTAGAGCCCAACTGTTGCAATATGGAGGTGTCGGATGGTCCAAGCCTCCCTAGGTTGATCACTGCAAGTGTCGGATGGTCCAACCCTCCCTTGGTTGATTATTGCAGGTCTCGGATGGTCCCGATGAACCCGTGTCTCGTCCTATGCCCACACTGCAATAGATCATTTTGGGTATGTGTTAGTGTGATAAAAACCAACCCACCCAGGCAAACCTTTGAAAAAAAGAAACCATTTTAGCCTTTTAGGGGGTTAGAATGTTTGGGTTTGACTAGGCATGTTTATAAATATAAGGAAATTGTGTGATAAAAATTTATTCAGAAAAAAAGAAAGTTGAGCAAAATTTGTGACAACACAAATATGAAAGAAGATATCAATGGGGCGGATGGAGTCAAGCAAATCTTTGAATTAGAGAAATTAAAAATAAATAGTGTTTTCTTATCATTATCTTTGAGACTTACAAGGAAAGAAACGCCGTGACATTGCATTGGCTATGCTGTAGTCGGTTGCTAAGAATCCACGATAATAGAAGATGATACATCAACCCTGGATTTCGTTGCAGTCCCATTGCTAAAAACTCTCTGCAAGACAGATATTCGCTCATCGATTAAGTCTGCCTCTACTTGCTTCATCCGCGTTTGCTGATTTCCCATTATCAACTCAAGTTCCTCCATATGTTTAACTTTGGCATGCAACTTCTTCAACTATAATAATTGCACCCAAGCAAATAAAATAATGAGATATACGAATAATCGTTCACTATGGTACAAGAGATATTGAAGAATATACTCCCTCCGTCTCGATTTTGTTGTCCGCTTGTTCCCAACCCTTTAAAGTTAAGGAATGTTGTGAATTGAAAAATAAATTTAGAAGATGTAATTGGTTTGTCCCCCGTTGGTAGAAACAAGCAATGCTCTTTAGGGGTATTTTGGACAATTCCTCACCATTTGTCTACCAAATAAGGCCAGTGGAAAACTAAATTCGGATAGAGGGAGTATTATATTAACTTTAAAATCACTTATGTGAGAGCATGTATTAGCAGAAATAGTTGAAGTGACATACTAACAGAAATTGTGACTGCAACGTTTCTGAACAAATGGGATTATCATGTTTAATACTCCCTTCATCTCTAAATAAACTTCACACTTTCTTTTTTTGTCCCTCCCAAAACAAACCTTACACATTCCTTATTTCCTTTTGGGAAAGGGATATGTGGCTCAAAATATTTCTCTTTTGAACAAATTCCAACAATACCTTTAACTTCTCAACATTTTTCTCAATTTACGTGAAGTCAAAGAGACCATTTCATTAAGGGATGGATATATGATTTATTTGGGTGTAATAAACTATAAGAAAATAGTTGTGGCATTTCTCGTCATTTTTGGTCAAAAAATATTGTAAATCGTGACCTACATATCATTTTTACTATCCGCTAAACCAGTCGACCGAGTCGAGTAAGTTTGGATGGAGGGAGGGTTTAGGACTTAGAATGCATGAGTTTTGGAAGGACAGGTCTATAACTTGATTTAGACTCGTATTTGATATTTTAAAAGTCGAAAGATTAACATATTACGGAGGTATATAATTTAAATCACCAGCTATTCAGTTTTTGAGACATTCTATATTCAACAAGATATAGTATAAACTCTAAACCGTCTGTCTCCCTACCTATATAGGTAGCGGTTAGGTGTATGTACACCCACACCCTACTCATGGAACCTTACTAGTCACTTGAAAGGATTCAAATGATTTCAAACTGTTTTATTCCTCTTAAGCATTTCATAAATATTTGGACCAACAACAAACAAATTGGATTCTACGAGAGTAGGGACTTAGACCCTTAATTATTTTTTTGTCCATTACTTTGATCCAATGCGAGGTTAGGGTAAGGTTGTTGTCATGTAGTCTAACCCCTCCAAAGTTTTCCCATCCAAACTCACTAGTCAATACCCTGTGATGAACAAAAGACTAACCTGGGTATCAATTAAACTTGAAACCAAATATTCCATTTCTCTCTCTTCCTGATCAGCCAATAATTTTGAATGAGCAGCAGCCGCACCCAGAGCAGTCGCAGTTGCAGCCCTCATCTGTAACATCAGAGGTATAGCACTCCTCTCGGACCTCTCGGATGAGATTTTATCCCCTTTGTCACGAAAAAGGATGGTGTTAAGAGAGTGATATGGTTATCATCATCACTATTATAATGAATACAGTCATTGCTAATTTTTCGTAATAGAGTATTAGTTTATTATTATTATGAGTATTACTAGCACTTTCACTCGTGTATTCCATGGAGTCATCTTTCTAAAATATTTTATATTCATGCAAATTATTCTAGAATATTTAATTTGTGTCATAGCATTTAAATATGAATTTGAAGTTAAAATTCATACATGGAAATATTAACCAGCATAATAAATTATTAAAAAAACCAACTATATAAAACGTTCCATGCAAAAAAAAAAGCTACTTGTTTTGTTGTTGATTGTCGCATATACTAAATTTCAACAACTGCATTTGGAATGGTATGCATGTTATAATGATCAATAAACCTATGGAAGGAAAGAAGATATGAATTGACCCTTTGAAAAGTAACTGCAAACATAAATTCAGGACAGGTAGAGTATTTTATTTGGTTGACTACAATCAGATCTTAAAAGAAGAATTTCACTAAGACTAAGATTTTAAATTTTGGAAACATCTGGAAAGACAGTTTGTGAGTTCTAATGTGTTAGCATAATTGTGTAACAAAGAGATAAATACCTGAACACATTTTGTCCATCTGGACATCTTCTACTTGATTATCCCTGGCAAGAAAAGTTGCATCTCAAGTTCACTACCACTAGCAAATCTCTTAAAAAAATAAGACATCGAATTATCTCTAACCAACCCCTTGTTTGGTTACAAGAGGGGGTAAGAGGGGCCAGGGGGATGAAAGAGTTAAAAAACTGTAATGCATGATTCAATGGAGTGGAAAGGAATTAGAATTTCGGGAAAACATGTAAAATATTATTGATTGATACTTTTACTATTAGGGTGCTGCAAAATCGACATCCCATTTGGCTAAATCCACTCCATTTACGAGAAATGGACAAGTTTTCCCCTTCACTTCTTTCCTTTCTTCCTTTAACATTTAAGGGTAAACTTGTCCATTTGATATAAATGGGGTGGATATAGCCAAATGAGTTGCAGATTTAGCAACAACCTTACTATTATTATTGTATACTCCCTCCGTTCCACAAAATTCTTCCTCTTTCGTTTTTTTTGCTTTCCACAAAACACTTCCACTTTCTATTAAAAAACCACTTTTACCCCTACTTTTTCATACCCTACCTATCACATCATACTTTTTCACTAATAACCAAACTATCACATCTTACTTTTTCCCATCACATCAGGGGCAAAATTGGAAAGTCAACCAAAATTACACTTTCCTTATTTTTCCCCAAAGTCAAAACCGGAAGGGTTTTGTGGAACGGAGGGAGTATTAAAGTATACTCTGGAACAGTCTACATGTACCATGTAAGCATAGCAATAATTGATGAACAAGGTGAAAACTGAAAAGAAATTAACAAAATGGCAACTCACCCGGCCAAACATACACCACTCCCCCTCCCTCCCCTCACCTCCAAAATCCCAATGCTGAATAATTGTTATTGTTAATGGAAAAGATTTTAATCAAAACTTTAGTTGAAAGATGAGAATCAAATGATAAAGCAAGATTGAAACTTGATTTAAACACATAGATAGTCACCTTATATGCAAGTTCACAGACTGAGCATTTTTAATTCATTTAGCAAATGATGCTACAAGAGAGTTGCGACTAGGATAAGCAGAATATAACCTAAAGAAAAGAATGGTAGGTGAGTGCAAAAAGATTTGCCGCAGCAACTTTGATATAAATATTTGTTTTTTACGAAATACAAAACCATTCATCCAATTGAAGCCATAAATATTATTTTGACTTTCAGAGCATCCCCAGTACCTGGCAGGCTTTCACACATTTGAAGGTCAAATTCAATAGTGATCCAAACTAAGAAATTCCATGCCTCCAAATTTGAAACAAATTCACAGAATTAAATTAATACTCTGTATTATACAAGCAAACCCCAACACCAGCACATTAGTCAAAATTAATATGAGGTTAAGAGCACCCTTTAGGACTTAAAGAGTAAAAAGTTACGTAAATAACCTTTCTTGTTCATTATTTTCAAGAGATGAACCCAACTCTTCATCAAGACTATCAATGCCATCGAAAAGCTCCCTAGAACACTGGTTTTCGTAGCAGATTGCTGTAACAGCTGCCTCAGTTGCAGAAGAGGTAACCCATGGACCAACAACAGGAGAGATGTGGGCTACCTAAGAGTGGTTTCCATCAGTGAAGAGCATGTAAATAGAAGAATTGATGTTTGCAAGCTNCCCCCCCCCCCCCCCCAGAAAAAAAAAAAGAATGAGGTACAAAGATAGCAAAATATTATTGAGAAGCCAGTTTACCTGCTTTATCAATGAACTGCCAAGTTCTGAAATTGGCACACTGCATCTTCTTTTCATAGGACGCCCTTGGTTTTCATCATCTGCACTCTCTTTCTCATTCTTACTGTCATTGGGTTGAAGTTCTGTTCCCGTAGCTATTTGGGGCTCACTTGAAGGTGGTTGTGCAAGTTCCAGACCATTTTCATCACCATTTGAATCCATAATTTTGTTATTTTTGTTGTCAGAACCCAGCATAAGAGCACCAAATGGCAGCTGTATAAGTTTCAAGATACATTCATGTTTGTTCTTTGTTCTCACATTTTGGGCAACAAGATCCCAGTCATCTCCATGTTTGAGAACAGACTCAAAAAGGAGTAAAGTTTCTGCATCCGTCCAGATAACCTGATGGTTCCCACTTTCAATGAACGTGAAATCATCTGCACACTTATCCTTATCAAAACTGCCATCTTTGAAGCACTTCTCGCAGAGGATAATGCTCCCTTCCTGATGCCCCCCCAAAAAAAGAACAAAATAAGAATCTAAAGTGATGTGTATGGTCTCCATTTATTTAAAAATGGATTTTTGCTTTGACACTAATTCTTCTTCCAATTCTTCATCATTTTCAGTGATGGTGATGATTATGAAGGAGTTGACGATGCAATTTATGCATGCAGCAAAATAAGCAACTCCACAAATGCATACTCAAGAATTATGATTGCATGAAATTTTTGTATGACACCTATGGTGACCTATGGTGACTTCAGTATCATGAGCAAGTGTTTCATATGGATAAATATGTAATATTTTTTTGCATCAATTATGTATACAATAATGGTGGAGCTGAAAGTAGGTGCAGTTGCAAGCAGTGCTTAGAGCTAGGGATAAAAAAGGAATAAAGAACGTGTATTATTATGGACCGGAAAATGTGTACATTGGACATGTGTATCTTTAACATGGGGAGACAATCTCATTTTCAGGTATAGAGCTTCCATTACAATTTAAAAGAGGTGTAGAGTAAAACATCTGCTCCCCAAATGTGGAGACCTAATATTCACACATCAGTATATTACTATCATAGTTAAACTTAGTATCTATATCGCATTAGAGCTTGAAAGAGCACCCCAGCCACTTCACCCATGAGGGTCTATCATGGGGTGGACATTTCAATGTTTTGGGCCTATCAAGCCTGATGGAAAAGCATTTGACCTGTATGAAATGCACTGACCATATCCCGGGGTATCACCCCGTGACTTTATAATTCCCAGTACCAACCAACTTACAAAAGAACAATGACATAAATTCCAGAACCATCACTATTTCTTTTCCACCAGCATGTAAAATATCATGGACAATAAGTTGAAATGTGAAAGAGTTTCTATAATTAGGGAGACCTACTGTTGATACATCAATATATTACTATCATAGTTACAGTGTTACACCTTGTATCTATAATGTGTTAGAGCTTGAAAGAGCATCCTAGCCACTTCACTCATGGGGGTCTGTCATGGGGTAGATATTTCAATGTTTTGGGCCTTATCAAGCCTGCTGGATAAGCATTTGACTGGTATGAAATGCACTGACCACATCCCAGGGTATCAACCCCATCACTTTATAAATCCCAGTACCAACCGACTTAGAAAAGAACAATGACATAAATTCCAACACCATCACTATTTTGTTTCCCCTAACATGTAAAATATCATGTAAAATGAGTTTCTAGAGCACAGTTTCTACAGCATGATGTTATTTACTCCGTATGTCTTAGTGTACTACGTACTTTGTGCTTATTCAAGTTGTACTCGGCATCCTTTGGCTTAACAGTACATACTCCTAAGCACAAGATAAAACTTTACAGTTCACATAGTAAGCATCATTCTAATTTAAGCTATTGAAGCATTTCCATGTGTGTGCACGTACCCACATGACACAAGAAAAAACGGGATTGCAGTTGACCTACTTGTTAAATTCGAACTACATTAAAACTTCGATAAACAAACCCATGCTGTCATTTACTGAAGGTAAAGATTTTGAAGGTTACAACAGTTCCTAAAGCAACAGATCATTTATGGCGTAAACAAGATAAATTATCACATCAAATGATATGCTGAAGAGAGTTTGATTCCTTTGTAGTAGTTCTACTTAAAATTCAGTTCTAAGTTGTAAACACATACATACATATACAAACACACACACACACATATTCATCAGTTAAAGGATGAAACTAGTGATATAATCATATAATCATCATATCATGAGCTAAAGCAAAGTGATCCAAAATGCACCTTGTTACACTCATAATGCCCAGATGCACAAGGCTCATTGCAGTGGCCACATGTCAAACTCTCCTTCTGTTGCTCCAACAGTTTTCCATAAACATCAGAGTAGGATGCCAGCGGCGGCATCTTGACCACATTCTGCACCCCAACAGCAGCAACCCCCATTGCAGGGGGCAGCGGGGCAACGGGCTTAATTGAATTTGGTGTGGCAACAACTCTGACACCATAAGGAACCCCTTCCTCGGCCTTAACCCTCCACTTCCTACCCTCTTCCTCCTCATCCTCGGCCCCAGCTTGAACAGGCTCCGGTTTACTTGGGTCGAAATTGATGAGCCCCCACTTCTCGAGGAACGTGAAGACCTTCAGGAGCACGCAGATGTCTCCCACCAGACACTTCCGCACCTCCGTGAATGTGAGCTTCCGGGTCGGATCCTCCCGGAACTTGGAGATGATAAAGTCCCTGTACTCCTTGTATATCCTGGGCGACCTCGTGATGGAGCTCCCATCAAAGAACTCCCCCAGGGACAGCTTCTCCACCTCGTGAATGCTATTCCACGAAAACCAACCTTAGTTTCACACACGAGAAATCGAATTGAATTAGGGTTTATGCCTGATCCATACACATGCGCAAATTCAGATATATGGAGAAGAGTTTGAAGAGGGTTCTTACTGGTGAAGCTAGGAATGGTGAGGAGGTCGTGGTCGGGTTCGCGCGAGTTCTCCATTACAGCAAGTCAGCGATGCAGGTATGATTGTGTGATTGCAGATTTTTAAGGCGGTCAAGTTGTAGTTACATCATTTCTTTTTTAAAAAAATCACTAGTCTTTTAATATAGAAATTTTATTTTAAAATTTTGTATTCCCTCCGTCCCCAATTTGATTACAAATTGTAGGCTATGCAGTAAAATTTTCTATCTTTTGAACTCATTTTATTTACAAATTGGTATATAAATAAGATATGAAAATTACATATTAAAAAACCACGTCAAAAATTCTACAAAATAAGTGGTAACAAAAATACTTTATTTTATAAGAAATCACCCTCCATAGCACTCTAACTCACCCTAAACTACGCATCTAGCACTATTTATTCTTTTTAACAAATTTAGCACTTTTTTGTGTCAATCCTTTACTATCATGCACTTTAACCTTTTCTTGCTTTTTCTCATTAAAAAAATAAGCCCTAGCCGCACTTAAGTCTGTTCTCGCGCACGTACTCTTCATCGGCGCAAGTTCTACTTTAGTCGCCCATAATCATGCATCCTCAGGCCTTCTCCCACGATTCATGCTCCGATCAACAGCGGCAATCATCAGGTTATCTCGAATTCCTTCAAAGATGTGGCTAATCATTTTCTCTTCTCCTTCAATTTTTAATTTTCATTCCTTTCATCCCTTTATTTGGATTTCCATGTATTTTAAGTTTAATTATTGTGTTTTCTTCGTACTAAAGATTAGGTGTTGTGAAATCAATTTTGAAATACCTAGTATTTGTCCCTTTTAAAAAATTAGGTCTTTTGAAAGGCATTGTGATTTTGGCAGTGTGATTTTGGCACTTTCAAGATTAGGTGTTATGGTGTCGGCTGTGTGAAGATTAAATGCCTAAATGTTGCCCTGCATTTTTTGTTTTGTTTATTTCCTATTTTTCTTCGTAGAGAATGTTTAACATAGTGGCATATGTTCGTGATTTTGGCAGTGTGATTTTGGCACTGTCAAGATTAGGTGTTATAGTGTAGGCAGTGTGAAGATTAAATACCTAAATTTTGGTTTGTCATGTTATGATTTCATCTCACCATACTACAGACGAGAATCATTAGTTGCTACTTACAATGGCATTGTGCACCCAATAGGAGATAAATCTTCCTGGAGTGTTCCGCCGGATGTTGCATCAGTGATTTGCAAGCCTCCATCTTGTAATAAGCGTCCCCCGGGTAGACCAAAGAAGAGGAGACTTCCATCTGTCGGTGAATTTCAAATAGGCCATAGGCGTAGAAAGCAAAGATGCACACGGTGTTTGAATTTGGGGCATAACGTAAAAACATGCAAAAACCCAATACCAAATTGACACTGCATTCTTTCATATTCCGTATAATATACAATTCTCAACAATTTCCTTCATCCATTTTTGACGTTGTTCAGACACATTCTTTGTTTTTTCACTCTTTTAATAGTTGTACTCCTTATACTATAACTTGATTTTTTTAGTAATATAAAATACTTTGTCCACTTGCACCATTTAATTACAAAAAGTGAATAGGATATAAGTTGCTTTCTTTTACTTCTTATTAAATTCCTTGTGAAATGTGGAAGTGTATTACGGCAGTGAATTTTTGGCAGTAAATATATTGTGCTAGTTTAAAAATATACTATGGCAGTGTATATATTCTGGAAGTTTATTTCAAACAGTGAGTTATTGGCATAGTGTATATTTTGTGGCGGTGTAAATATTGTTGTAGTGTATTTTAAACATTGATTTTTTGGAAGAACATATTCTGGCATTGTAGAGATTACATATTCTAGTGTATAATTACCGTAAAAAAATAAATCCCACGAAATAAAATAAATTCTGCTCTTTTTTTTCAGAAGACTCGTATGTGGTAGGGCACTAAATTCAATCTCAAACATATTGTGGCAGTGAAGAACATAGAATTTCATACTTATTTCTAATGTGGCAGTGAAGATTGTGCATACATTGCAGTGTATATTGTACTTTTTTAAACAAAGTGTGCAGTGACTGCCTAAACAATTTTGGAAACGTGGAATGGTCATGGCAGTATGACATAAAAAAAAATCTCCAAGAATCCACTTCTCAAATCACTAATTAATTAAATGCCCATAAATTATTACTAAAACAAATCATAATATCATTTATACCACAAAAAACTAAAACAAACTCCAAACAGCTGTCATACGAACATTAAAATATCCAAGGTATAAAAAAAAGTCTATTTCTTTCTGGATTCTTCCTTCCTCTCATAGCTATAAGCTAAAAGTTCTCCCATCTTGCATAACACCTTTAGAGGCCACGTCAGCTTCCTACAACAACAATATAACATCTAGGTAAGCTTAAAAAAACCAAAAAATGGAAACAAAGCCAAAAAAACAAAACATTAATCAAAACAACACTGCCAAGCTTAAAAAATAAAACTCACTGCATAGAACTAAAGGGAAACAAAAACACACTGCAGAAAATAAAAACAGACTGAAGAAAATTAAAAACACATTGCAATGAACCTTCAACAAAAACCCCTCTGCCACCCCGGGAAAAAAATTTATTCTAAACTTTGTAAGAAAATTTTTTTAAGAAGTAAATTCAATGCCAAAAAAAGCAAAAATGTATTCTAAACTTTGAATTACGTATAACATTCTCAAAAAAACCTAAACAAGTTCAACAAAGCCAAAAAAATTCAATACATTAATCAAAAAACACTGCCAAGCTTAAAAATTAAAACACACTGCATAAAACCTATGGGAAACAACAAACACACTGCAGAAAATAAGAACACACTGAGGAAAATTAAAAAACACATTGCAGTGAACCAACTACAAAAACCCCCCTGCCAACCCGAAAAAAGATTTATTCTAAACTTTGTAAGAGAATTTTTCTAGGAGCAAATTCAATGTCAAAACGAAGCAAAAACTTATTCTAAACTTTGAATTACGTCTAACATTCACAAAAATTGCCCGTACGAGTTCAACAAAGCCAAAAAAATCCAACACGTTAATCAAAAAAACACTGCCAAACTTAAAAATTAAATCACACTACATAGAACCAAATGGAAACAAAAAAACACACTGTAGAAAATAAAAACACACTAAAGAAAATTTAAAAACCCATTGCAGTGAACCTTCAACAAAACCCCCCTGCCACCCCAGAAAAAAAACTTATTCTAAATTGTGTAAGAGAAATTTTTTTAGAAGCAAATTCAATGCCAAAACCAAGCAAAAACATATTCTAAACTATGAATTACGTCTAACATTCCCAAAAAACCTAAACGAGTTCAACAAAGCCCAAAAAAATTCAATACGTTAATAAAAAACACTGCAGAACCTAAGGGAACACATTGCAGTGAACATAAAATGCCAAAACCACATTGCATTGAAAATGAACTGCCTAAACGTACTGCCTAAACGTACTGCAGGGAACACATTGCAGTGAAAATAAAATGCCAAAACCACATTTCAGTGAAAACGAACTGCCTAACGTACTGCAGTGAAAACGTACTGCCTAAACGTACTGAAGAAAATTTAAAAAAACATTGCAGTGAACCTTCAACAAAACCCCCCATGCCAACCGGGAAAAACACCTAATTCTAAACTTTGTAAGATAAATTTTTTTAGAAGCAAATTCAATGCCAAAAACGAAGCATACATGTATATTCTCTAATCTTTTGCTTAGAGGGATCTCGTCCAGTGCACCTTCGCTTGTCATTCAAACCCTGGGTCTCCTTCCGGAAGCTGCTGCGGCTTTGCGTTCGGCAGTGGAAGAGGTCGTGTGAGTGGGAAGATCGGCTGCTGCGCTATAGCGTTTGGCCCGTAAAGCTTTTTTTAACCTAATTAGAAGAATTTAGTATTAGGTGTTTATTTAAGGACAAAAAAGAAAATTCATCTCCAAAACTAATAGCACTACTATTTTGAGTATTAAAGTACTATTAAAGTGCTATTTTTGTATTTCTCCATTATTTTATCAAATACTTAATGAAATCGCGTAAGCAAACAAAAATTATCGAGAGGAGAGAGAAAAAAATTGCAATCTATTTAGGGACGGAGGTAGTATTATTATTCAAATAAATTAAGTTAAATGTTGTGGGAGATGTGTATTTCTTTATTGATAATAACTCCCTTATATATGGAAGAGCTTCGTAGGGTTTTACAAGAGAAGACGCACGGGCCAGTACAACTGTATCACACAATATAAAGTAAATTCTATCTACACAACAGCACACTAATTTACAAGTTCCTTCAACACTCCCCCTTGTGCTGAGTTGTAGGTAGAATTGCAGAATCTTGATCTCTTATCAAAATCTCGTCAAGTGTCAAAACCCTGTGAATAAAAATCTTGAACGAATAAAAGAGTACTGATCTTTACTTCGATCGCTGTGTTCATGCATATTGTTACCTCATTAAAAACCTTACCAAGTAACAAAACTCAATGGGAAAAATAAACCTTGGCTTAAGGAAAAGAGTGTAACATAAAATAAAAGCTAGACCTTTGAATATTCAAATCTCCCCCTGAAGTGTACATGATCAAGGAAGATCTGAAAGTCTACGCATCCCAATGTTTTTAACATGTTTCTCAAATGTGGCTTTAGGTAATGATTTGGTGAATAGATCTGCCACATTCTCCTCGGATCTTATTTGTTTTACTTGGATCTTGAGGAGAGTTTGTTGTTGTTGATTATAGAAAAGTTTGGGAGAAATATGTTTGGTGTTATCACCTTTGATAAATCCAAGTTTCATTTGCTCGATGCAAGTAGCATTATCCTCGTAAATGCATATGGGTTCTTCAGTGGTTGGTCTCCTAGTTAATTAGTTAATACGCGTATAATATGTGTATTATACTTACGTACGTATAATACACGTATTATACTTGCGTATGCGTATAAAATCATAAAATACGTTAAAATACGCGTATTTTTAGCCCATCCATCTAAACGCGTTTTTTTCCCGATCACCCAATTCACAGACGGCCGCTCAAACCCTTTGGTTATTTCCCGATCCAAATTCCAACCTATATCTCTCGACAATTTTCCGCTAACCGCTGTCCAGTGTCCACAACGAGAAGACGCCGGCGATTTCGTGGTCCTCTTCGGTCTGATACCAGCAGCGAGCCAGCGACCGGCGCAAGTCCCAGATAACTTAGCCGGCGATTTCCTCTCCCTCTTCCTCTTCGATCTGATCACTAAGCAGCCGCATACCAGATACCAATAAGTCCCTAGAGTTTTTTTTTTGTTTTTTATCATTAAATTTCTAGATTTTCTGCTGCGTTTTTGGCCTATTGCATATTCAAAAGTAATCTGCATATTCCCAATTGCATATTCCCAGCCGCATACCAGATACTAGATTTTCATGTTTTTATCATCTAATTCCCAATTGCATATTCAAAAGTAATCTGCCAATTTTAAATTAATTTCCCAAAAAAAGTGGCTAATAAATAGCTAATCAACAATTTTGTTTGTGTTTGTTACTAATTAGGGACTTAACACTTGTGGCTAAGATTAATTGTTAAGTCACACACTCATTAATTTGTGATAGAATGGCGAAATTTGAATTTCTTAATTTTGATACATAACTGGTCATTACTCATTATTTGTATAGAGTCATGGTTAGAAAGAATGATCTACTTTGGGTACATGCTACCGATATGAATGGTAAATTTGAATGCAAGTACTGTAAACGAGTATATTTTGGAGGTTTAACAAGATTGAAGTTTCATTTGTCTGGATTAAAAGGTAATGAAATTGAGATTTGCACACAAGTTCCGAAAGACATAGAAACTCAGGTGTGTGAAACACTTACACAGACCTCTAAAAGGCTTAGAGTTGAATCTAGCACAACAAACTTTAAAGTGGGTGGTTCTACTATGTCTTCTCATGCCTGAAATGGTTAAAAAAAATGGACAAGAGTGATGTAGATGACTTGCTTGCCACGTTTTTTATTCAAAATAATATTGCATTCAATGTTGTGCAACAAAAGTCATTCATCAATCTTGTTAAAGGAATTGCAGATTATGGACCAGCCTATAAATTGCCAAGCTATTCAACTTTAAGGACCAAACTTATTCCAAGAGCAAAAAAAAGTTGATGAAGTAAAGAAATCATGGGAGGTTCCGGGTTGTTCCATTATGTCTGATACTTGGACTGATCTTAAGGGAAGATGCTTTATTTCAAGGGTAAAATGTAAATTATTATTACCCTAATCAGAAAGGTACATGAATGTCAAATGCTGAACCATAAGAATGGTTCCATGCATGTATAAGACAATTACAACAACAAGCCCAAATGGGTAACAAACAAACAACAATACAAAGTTGGCACACAGGCCGTACAAAATAAACATCCAGAAACAACTCAACAGTGTAATCCAGCACGTCCAAGCTCTTGCGGAATCCACTTCCAGCTTCCAGTACCCTGCACCATCAACGGCACGGTAGGCAAAGCAAGAGCAAGGAGGGAGTATATATTGGTGGGACAATCCAACTCCAACCATACATACTCCCTCTCAAGGATCAGGTATCGCATATATTCACACAGGTGATCCGCAAAGCTACTTCAAAAATCAGTTCAAAAGCTCTACATTCATGGTTGCATCCACCAGAAGCAGGAGTTATGTTATCCTTGCCATAGATACCACCGGCATGCCAAGGGCCACACCCCGAGTACCAGAAGTTGTCCACCATCGTCGAGGAGGACAACTTAACACCAAAGTGACCTCACGCTGCCATACAAACCCCTCCCCTAGGTCTATGGCCAGAGTGCCCCCTAGGTATTTGGCAAGCATCCCCATACAGACGAGGCACAAGTTCACCAGGTTGTCCCACAAGCCTTCATCTACTATTGCCCTTGGTTGTTCACAAACAATACATAGATAGGCAGGCAACCAGCAAAAACGACCTCCAAAACCCGAGAAAGTAGCCCAGTTAGCCTGAAGAACAACTTCATAGCCAAGATAGTCCCGGTTCTTCCAACAACCCCAACCGAAAGGGTCAAGAAGAGTACCGGGCAGCCAGCCAGCAAGACCAAAAGGCAATAACAAACATAAAACCCAGCCCAAATCAAACAACATTACTTCAGGGGCAACGGGAATGCCTTCAATTGCCCAAAAACCACCACAAACCATTCCAACTTTATCCAAAACCAAGGAAGCCTAAGCAAAAGGGAACCAGGAACCTAAGCAAGCGCCAAGCTTTGGCTCCATCTTCTCTCCGGCCTTCCAACCCAAAGAAATCAGCAAGACCAAAGTTTCTGCCAGGAAATGCAGCAACACGCACACTCCCAGGCAATGTTTTCTTGCGGCAGACCTCTCTTCAAGAGGAGGTGAGAACCAGTCCCCTAGGTCATGCGCAGAGAAACCAAAACAGCAGCAGTAAGAGCAACATTTCAGGGCCATGTCTTCCTTAAAATCAATTCACCATGCCTCCATAGTCCAGCCCACATCGCAAAACAGCTGATGCAGGTTCATTACTGCCCATTCATCAATGACAATATCAAGTCATCACAAATCAGCAGATGTAGCTCCTTCAAGCATTGGCACATCCCTCCACACCACAATCAACCCATGTTGGCTCTTCAATAGTCATTAGGGGGGTAGGAAGATAAGGCTATATGTTAGGTGCATCAACAGAAACATATTACAGTGGACCTCAAAGCAAATGGCCAGCAGCAAACCAATTTTAAGGTACCAAGACCAGTGACAAACCATCTGCAGACCAGTGGCAAACCATGTTCCCAGTGTTAGCCTTGGTTTGCTAAGCCTCATGTTTTGATGTTAACAAACAATATAAGAGCTTGACGTTTGTTTAAGTGTTTCAGGTACAACAAGAATCCATTAAGATTCGATACTCAAGAATGAAAGTCGAAACACCAAACTAGCGTAGAATATAGGTAGAAACCAATGTAAGAATATGATTTTATATACCTATACTCACAAGCTCAAAAGCACTCACAAACTATGTTTAAAACCGTCTAATAAACATTTTCAAATATCCAAAAGGTTTTAAACTCAAACAAGAAGGATTACGGGAATTTTGGAAAATTCAGGACAGTGGCACGATACCCCAGACGGTAGGGTATACCGCCTACATGGTACCCGCATACCGTGTAACGGTACCCATGTACCGTACGGTAGGCTGAAACGGTTGGGTACCCTGTCCTAACCAGGTACCGCCAGAGAGCAACCGAAGTTTTGGCCTATACGGTACCCCCACACGGTAGGCCATACCGTGTCACGGTACCTAGGTACCGGACGGTACGGACCCCCCTACCGTGAAGGGTACCGGATCCGTTGGGTTACTGTTCCTGATTTGCAATTTTGAATTAAATCAACCCTAATCACCTCCCAACGGCTAATTAACATCTTCCACTATAAATATAAGCCTAATCCTTCATATTTTAACAAGAAACAAAGCTCTAAACATCCTCTCTTTTTATTCTAAGTGTGTTCATCCTTTTATTAATTATTTTCAATATTTTGGCTATTTCAAGAGCCTTAAATTCCTGAATTTTATACACACACTTTGAGCTTGTGTTTCTAGTTATATACTCTCATATTCATAAGTTTATATTGTATTTTTGAGAGAGTATAATTTCCTTCTACACCGGCTAAGTTTTGTTCTTCACTTTTATATTCTAGCCGTTGTGTAGAATCCTCTTTTGTGTTCTTCAAACACACCTTCTTACGGTCGAGAATAGCCGTTAAATTCTCACGTTGTAACGGTTAAGGATAGCCGTATAAATCCTTGGGTAAAGGTTCAAGGATAGCCTTTGAAATCCTTGGGGGAACGGTAGAACATAGCCGTTAAATCTTCATTGTAAACGGTTCGAGATAGCCGTTGTGAAATCTCGGAGTGAATCCTATTGGCAAGGGTTGTTTGCCAAAACTAGTGCGGTGCTTTGACGGAGTTCAAGAGACTGAGACTTAGTGGATTCGGAAATCCTTGAGGAGGAGCCTCGAGGTACTGGAGTAGGGAGTTCCTGAACCAGTATAAAATCAGTGTGCATTTTATTTACGCTTTTATTTCTGCGTTTTATATATTGCTTCCGCATTTGCCAACATCGTTTTTATTAAACTCCGAAAAGATTTTAAAACGCCTTATTCACCCCCCTCTAAGGCGTGGGCACAACGACTAAACCGACTAACACCCAGCCCTCAAACCCCAGTGGCAACCAGCAGCAGATTCCAATAAAGGCCAAAATACAAACAAGCATTTGAAGTAACCAAAAAGCAAAACAGTGCCAAAATACCACCATGTAATTACAAAAGCAGCCCAAACAATGGAGTATGTAAAAAGCAGCAAAAACCCAGGTTTGAACTCCATTTACAGGGGCAGTAGACAGAACCAGAAGCACACAAACAAGAAGTGCAAAAATCAGCAGCAAATTCCAAAATCCAGCCCATATTTGCAGCAGTTGTTTTCCAAGGATATTAAGCAAAATTCATACAATATCTCCAAGCCATTATCATCATGGCTAATGGGCTGCTGGTTCGTGATAAAGCATCAACAAAATACCAGCACAAAACAGCACCCAGCGCAAGGCATAATTTCTGGGCAATTAATTCATGAGTGCATCAACAATATGTCAAACGAAATTCATGAATCCACAAAAAGTTGGCCAAAAAAAAGAGCAAAATCCTGGGTAATCATGTTCCACAGACGCGCTGTGAACAGTAACTTCGAATGCCATAATGCCTTAGATCAAAAGAAAATTCAAAAGATGTTGAAATCCACCTTCATAACATGGAAGGGGATTACAAACCAATCGGAATCTCAGAAGGATTGTCAACAAAAATACCCGAATCGAATTGCATCAGAGAATCAAAATTGCGAATGAACAGTGTTGGGCATAGCGTTGACCTTCAAAACTACCAAAATCCGTAACCAAAATCAGCAAAATAACCTCATAATTGGATTCGCCAGCTGAAGGCGCACCCAAGGCTCCAAAAATCTCAAGATTTGAGCTTGAAACGATGGAGAAATCGTGAGAACCCCCCTCGCGTTGCTGTTCATTCGCGGCTAGAGAGAGGAAGACGTCAGACTCCATTAGGGAAGATGCTTTATTAATTTTATTGCATCGTGCCCTAAATTAAAGGTTCAGTTTTTTTAAAATCGGTTGAGATTTCCGAAGATAAGAAAACTAGACTATTTTTAAGTCATTTGTCCTCTAAAGTCATTGATATGGTAGGACCTCAACACGTTGTTCAATTGATCACGGATAATGGTTCAAACTTTGTTTTTGCTAGGAATATGATTGTGCAAAAGTATACTATGATTTGCTACAATAGGTGTGCAGCACATGGATTCAATTGCTTTTTAAAGATATATATGACCAAGTTCCCTAGGTTCAAAGTGTTGTTGATAATGCTAAATCTATTCAGGCATATATGTATCGCCATACTATTATTACTGCTTTGATGAGAAAAGTTACAAATGGACGCGAATTGAAAAAGCCATGTGCGACTAGATTCGCTTCTAATTTTCTTGTGGTGCAGTCTTTGCTTGGTCTTGAGAATGAATTACGTATGTTTGTGGCATCTCTGGAATGGAGAGATTTGTCTTATTCTAAGTCACGAGAGGCTATTAGTGTGACTGGACTCATCCAAAATGATGTCTTTTGGTCTGAAGCAAAAAAATTGATACAAGCTTTAGAACCACTAGTTCGTATTCTTCGCTTAGTTGATGGTGAAGGTTCTACTTCTGGATATTTATACCAAGCAATGGAGTTGGCCAAGGATGAGCTCAAGAAAAGGGTTGAAAAAAGTAGAGACAAATATGAGAAAATATTGTCATTATTTGATACGAGAAGGAAAGAGAATATCATTGATCCTATTCATGCATTTATCGCTACTCTCGACCCATTTTTCTTTAGTAACACGAACTTTAAGCAAACTGTGGAGATGAAAAAAGGTATGTTTTCTTTGCTTGAAAAAGTTATACAGCCTGTTGACAGGAAGGAGTTTATAACGCAATATCGAGATTATACTATGAAGCCTTCCTCTCTATTCAATGATGCCACATACAATATGATGACGACATATCATCATCGTAAGTGATTTAATTATTTTTAATTCTCATAGAAATATCGAGATTATATTATGAAGCATTCTTCTCATGGTGTACTTAATTGCTTGTATTACTATTTTTTAAATTTTGAATAAAGTTATATAGGTTAACTTCAATATTATTTTTCCTTGAAATTTGCATTGAAAAAAAGTAGTTAGCATTAATTGATGCATCGCATTTGGTATTGCTCTTACTAATGAGCATTTACATTATTGTTATTTTTAATCATTTATTCATTCTATATATTTCTTACAAGTACTTCAAAAATATGCCATTCGTCTTTTGAGTCAGCCTTGTAGTTCATCTGCATTTGAGCATAATTGGAGTGTCTTTGAAGCTGCTCAAACAAAGAAAAGGAATCGACTCACTCCAGGCATGCTAGGTCTTCTTGTGTACTGTAGGATGAACACACTCATGATGCAAAATGCTGAGGAAAAAATGATTAAAGATTCCAATCCAATTGATTTGAGCAAGTTGAGAGAATGGCCTGATTATGGAGAGGTAGAGTCATACTCTCATATTCTTAATGGTAATGAAAACAATGAGGCTTGTGAGAATTCAATGGAAGATCCTAACATTGACAATGGTATGGATGATGCTGGACTTCCAGAATTTTGTGAGACTTATGTCAATGATGATGATGATGATGTTTTTGCTGAATTTGGTATTTTAGAATAATTTTGTAGTTGCTCTAGATTTTCTATCCTATTTTTCATTTTGAATTTTGTTCGATTAAGACTTTATTTTTTATTGACATAAAGATTGTATGCTAGCACTTTACTGTTTTGGATTTATTTCAATTTAAAGCATGATTGTTGATTTTTTATTTACTTTATTATTAATTTTCTTGTGGATAAATATGTGCATAATATAAGACGTATTTCATAATTAGGAAACGTTTAATACACGTACGTATGCGTATACACGTTTTGTACGTATGAAACATATTATAAGACGTATTTTATAAATTTTTGACATATTATACACGTACGTACGTATTTCCGTATTAAACTTTTGCCATATATAACTAACTAGGGTTGGTCTCAAACCACTAGCCCCGCGAATGCGTGTAATGATAGTTCTTAACCATATACACTCGCGAACCGCCTCATGTAGAGATATAATCTTTGAGTGGTTTGATGAGGTGGCTACTAGAGTTTGCTTGGTTGACCTCCACGATATTGCAGCGTTACCAACTGTGAATCCATAATTAACCAGTTTGGGAACGACCCTTGTGTGGATCGGATAAATATCTTGCATCAGCATACCCGATTAGTACATCAATCGGTGTTTCTAGATTTGAGGATGAACTCCCTTCTTCAACCATTTTCTTAGAATTCACAGCTTCCTTTGTCCTTTTGTATGGAAAGAACAGTCCCATATCACTAGTTCCCTTTAAATACCTCAAAATATTTTTGATACCGTTCCAGTGACGTTGCGTTGGCGCAGAGCTAAATCTAGCTAACAAGTTCACTGAGAATGCTATATCTGGCCGAGTACACTAAGCTAGGTACAATAATGCACCTATGGCACTTAAGTATGGAATTTCAGCTCCTAATACCTCTTCATCCTCTTCCTTTCGACGAAATGGATCTTTTTTAGAATCTAAACTTCGGCCGACCATGACAGTGCTAGCAGTATGTGCTTTGTCCATGTTAAATCGCCTGAGTACCTTTTGGACATACGCAGACTAGTGGATTAATATCCCACCAACTCGATGTTCTAGTTCAAGACCTAAACAAAATCGAGTTTTCCCAAGGTCCTTCATCTCAAATTCAGATTTCAAATAATTTGCAGTTTCTCTTATTTCATCAAGAGTGCCTATTATGTTCATATCGTCAACATAGACGGCTACAATTTCAAATCCAGAACTTTGCTTTCTTTATAAATACGCAGGGACATATTTCATCGTTCTTATATCCCTCTTTAATCAAGTAATCACTTAGGCGGGTATACCACATCCTACCGGATTGTTTCAAAGCGTAAAGAGAGCGTTTTAGTCTGATCGCAAACGCACTCCATGGTTTAGAGTCACTTGATTTGGGTAAGGGGACACCGTCGGGTACTTTCATATATATCTCAGAATCAAGATCCCTATAGAGATATGCAGTAACCACATCCATAAGGTGCATTTCCAATTCTTCGGAAACTGCTAAGCTCACCAAGTACCTAAATGTTATAACATCCATTACAGGGGAGTATGTCTCATCATAATCAATTCCAGGGCGTTGTGAGAAACCTTGCGCCACTAGGCGAGCCTTATATCTTAAGACTTCATTTTTCTCGTTACGTTTCCTGACAAATACACATTTATGTCCTACAGGCTTTACACTTGGAGGGGTTAGCACTACTGGACCAAATACCTATCTTTTTGCCAAGGAATCAAGCTCTACCTGGATTGCTTCTTTCCATTTAGGCCAATCCGCTCTTTGTTGACATTCTGCAATAGAGCATGGTTCGATATCGTCATGCTCTATTATCTCTAGAGCAACACTGAAAGCAAATACATCATCGATGTGTGTTGAAGATCTTTCTAGTAATATATGTGCACTTTCATAATCCATTGAAATTTCTTTATTCTCTTGAATCATATGAAACATTGGAGCGTCCTCCAGTAATGATTCATGGACATAACTATAATCAGAGATAATCTCATGGGATGGATGTTCAACATCGATGTGTAACGGATTAGTTTGTGCTGCACTCGTCCTTTTCTTCCTTGGATGAGTGTCAATCGAACCAAGTGGCCTTCCTCTCTTCCTTTGAGGAGCCACGGCCTCACCCACACTTCCACTCGGTGTGGATGTAATGCCTGTCATTATGGCATTTTTCTTTTTAGTTGGGACTTCTAACCTTGCAGGTGCATTTGCAGCAGGTATGTGTGATCTTGTCACTTTAACAATATCAGTAAATGAATCGGGCATCGAATTTGCCACGTTTTGAAGATCAATTATTCTTTTCACTTCGCTTTCACAATGTGAAGTACGAGGATCGGAATGAGACAGTGTGGGGACACACCAAGATATTTCCTGTCATTCGCTTGGAGAGTTTTTCTTATCTCCCCCTAACGACGGGAAATCTGTCTCATCAAAGTGACAATCTGCAAATCTAGCAGTAAAAAGATCACCTGTCAAAGGTTCTATATAGCGAATAATGGTTGGGGATTCATATCCAACATAAATAATTAATCGTCTTTAAGGACCCATTTTAGTGCGCTGTGGGGGCGCAATCGGCACATACACTGCACAACCAAATGTCTGTAAGTGTGAAATGTCAGGCTCATAACCAGTCACCAACTGGTATGCAGAGAATGGTTGTGAAGCAGTGGGTCTCAAGCGAATAAGTAAAGCTGCATGCAATATGGCATGACCCCATGCAGATGTAGGCAAAATAGAACGCATAATCAACGCCCGAGCTACCATTTGTAACCTTTTAGTGGTTGCTTCTGCAAGGCCATTTTGCGTATGTACATGGGGAACAGAATGCTCTACATCGATCCCAATAGCCATGCAATAATCATCAAAGTTCTTAGATGTAAACTGTGCAGCGTTGTCAAGTCTTATAGACTTGATCGGATGGTCAGGGTGGTGAGCCCTTAAACGAATTATTTGTACCAAGAGTTTTGCAAATGCAGCATTTCTTGTTGATAATAATGTAACGTGCGACCAATGTGTCGATGCATTAACCAGTACCATAAAATACCGAAATGGTCCGCTTTCTGGTTGTATCGGCCCACATATATCTCCTTGTATCCGTTGTAGGAATGGTATATTTTCTTTTGAATCTTTAGCATAGGATGGTCGTGATCCTATTTTTGCTAATGATCAGGCTTTACAAAAGGATTTGTGGGCATGTGACATTGTCAAAAAATTATTTTGAGACGAGGATGATGCTTCAATTTCTTTAGAAGGCATTTTCCAAGCTGTCGGGTTTTTGTGTTGCTTTGTCCTTGCCTTGAAAGAAAGGATGACCGTGAGAGTTTTTTAGGATACGAATCATCATGTCACGATCAGGATGCCCTAGTCGATCATGCCAAAGTCTATATTGTTCAGTATCTCTTATGTCATCATGACTTATAGAATAAGATTCAATTATTTGAATTGTAGTGATATACAGTCCACTACTCTTACCCTTAAATTTCTCTAAGATGTGCTTTCTTCCGCATTCATTAGAAGTAATGTAAAGGTATTCAATACCATTCTCACAATGAGTTTCAACATGAAAACCATTATCACGGATGTCTTTGAAACTTAACAAGGTTCGAGTAGCTCTAGGTGCATATAGAGCATTTATGGCTTTAATCAATGTACCATTAGGGAGTAAGAAAATGGCAGTACCACGTCCTTGAATTACATGTGACGAACCAATCATTGTTGTCACAAATGAATTATAGGCTACCAAGTTAACAAAGAGGTGCCTATTTCGCAAGATGGTATGAGTAGTCCCACTATCTATTAAGCACTCAAGTTCACCTCGATTCATACCTGTGTAATGAGAGAATTGCATATGGAATTGAAACACACGATGTATATAAAAAGATAGGGGCATAAATCCTTTAATTTATTTAAATTGAATGCAAATTTAAAACAATTCCACATAGTCTAAAAACGCAATAAATAGTCTTCAAAACACTCTTAGGAAATTGGCAGAAACATAAAAGAAATTATTCCAAAACATCATGCATGGAGAGAATGAAGAAAGTGTATCAATCAAAATCAGGTGCATCCATTGAGTGCACATTATCCCCCTTGTTCGTAAAGTGTGCAAGGGTAAGATTGACATCAACGTCATTGCCTTCTTCGTCCAAATATTGAGATTCATGCTCTCTAGATTGGAGATATTTCTTGTAGCAGGCTGCAACTTTGTTACTAGCGCGACAATGCTTGTACCAGTGTCCGCTAACTCCACATCGGTAACATGGCTCATTCTTTATCAGAGGAGTCTTGGATGCATTTGACTTCTTGTTTGTGTGGCCACTCAGTCCATCATTTTACTCTCTTCGCCAAACATTGGAAGATACTCCACGACCTCTACCACGACCACCACGACCCTTCCCACGATTAGAGTTATTTCCACGTGGGTAAGGATTAGCACGTCTAGGTCCCTTTTCATTGGGATGCCTTCCATGTTTTATTTTTCCATAATTGGCTTCAGGAATTTTCTTTGTCCCGACAAGCCAAGCATTGTTATTCACAAGGACTTCATTATGCTTTTCTGCTGATTGCAGCATATTCATCAACTTGTAGAATGTGGTAATTCTTTTGTTTTCATACTCCATCCTGTACTGGTTCGCTAGTATCATGGATGAGGTAGGAAATGTGTCAAGAGTCTTTTGAATCATGTCATCTTCGGTGATTGGATTACCACCAAAGATGAGACGTGCCTTAAGACGCAACATATCTTTGACAAAGTCATTTGTCCGTTTATAGTCTAGCAAACGGTTTTCATTACATTGCGCATTCAGTTCTGGGAGGAGAGTATCATGAATGTTCCCAAAACGTCCCTTAACGGCATCCCACAGTTCTTTGGCGGTTTTCAACTGAAGATATTCCCAACGTAAACTTGGGTCAATGTGTCGCCTTAGGAACATTAAAGCTTTTGCTTTCACTTTTTCATATGGTGCATCTTTCAATTCACTGGGGTCTTTAAGTGTGGCAGAGAAGTCTTTAGCCACGAAAGCCATTTCTACATCAGAAACCCAACGGTGGTACTCAAGTCCTTCTGAGTCCAAGATGTCAAATTCAAGTCTACTGGGATCAGTCATTTCTGATAGGAGTATGTGCGGCAGAACAATATGGTGGGCTGGGTAGTGGCAGCGACCTTTTCTCCTCCGTCTGCTCTGTTCCCTTTCCGGCGATTTGCTCCCCCACCCCTCTTTTTTTTCGATGATGGAAGAAGGGGCGCAGAAATTTTTTTCTGTCGATCGATTGAAGAAGCGTCACTGAAAAATTAGGGTTGTGCTATCGGTGCTGATAACGTGTTGTGGGAGATGTGTATTTCTTTATTGATAATAGCTCCATTATATAGGGAAGAGCTTCGTAGGGTTTTACAAGAGAAGGCCCACGAGCCAGTACAACTGTATCACACAATATAATGTAAATTCTATCTACACAACAGCACACTAATTTACAAATTCCTTCAACATTAAATATAAACTTAATTAAACTTCCTGTGAGGTTCCTATGTCATTGACCCGGCCACTCTAATTTGACTCTAAAATCAAAATAAAGTTGTGATATGCGGAAGTAGAGGGTGTGTTCGTGTCGGGGCGGGATGAAGGATTTACAGGGGGTGAGAACCGTCAATTTTACGAACGAAGCATCGGAACGCCTCCGGGTCATCCCATGACATTGAGAAACAATGTTATGGAAACGTCCCTTTAAACTTTATACTCCCTCCGTCCCAAATTATAATGCATGTTCACTATTCACAGGGTCAAACTTCATTCACTTTCTTTCTCTATTTTCGTTAGCAATTTTATAAAATAAAATATTGTTGTCACTACTAGTTTTGTAGATCTTTTGATGTAGTATTTTGATATGGAATTTTTTTATTTTTTAACTCTATACCATTTGTCATATAAAATGATTTGAAAATAACTCCAGTCAAATATCGTGAACCGAAACAGGCGTTATAAAATGGGACGGAGGGAGTACTACTTAACGGATGGTTTTTATAGGCGTTGGAGGATAGAGATAAGCAAAAAAATTGAATAAAATAATTATTGTGAAATTTGTGATGGGATTAATACATTGAATTGGGCTTAATATCCTATACTACATCTAAGATAAATAACTAAAGTCATGTCTTATCATGGGGCTTGATGGAAGCTTGACCACCACGTAAGTGCGATGTGGTTTGGCTCTCCCACCAAGCCCCATCAGGTAAAGGGGTGTTATGGCGGAGAGCTTGACGGGGCCTGGCCACATTTTTTTTAATTTTTTGTTTGTTTTTTGGTTTGTAGATAAAGTAGTCTAAACATTTATATTCAAACAACAGAATTTTTTAATACAATACATAAAATAAAATTACAACGGGAATACGAGAGAAAAAAATTACAATGAAAACTAGACACAAGAAAAAAATACAATGAAAAAAATAAAAAATACAATGGAATAAAAAAATTACTTGATGACATCTCGGTTTTTGTTACTCATCTGACTCATCCGAAAACGATGTTTAAATTGATCGTCATTGTAAACTGGAGTTTCTGAAAAATACTCTTTAATCAGGCGGTGGTTGGCAACATTAGGGCCCGATTGATCCTTCTTTGATGTGTAATCTCTCCGAACGAATTCTCATTATAAATTGCTTCGACAGTGCTTACTGTAGCTTCAACGGAACACGAGAACAAAAAAGTTGTATCATCTTCGTCAGAAGACGACAACTAATTGTTTTCTTCATCGAAACTCATTTTTTACGAAAATATGTATACTAAGTTCTTTGGGGGTGAGGTTCTTAATCCTCTACACCCTATTTATACTAAATTTTTTAATGTTTAGAATTAAAAAAAATCAAATGGCTCAAATAGTAGTTGGAAACGGTTACTTCACCGGGCAACACTCGTGGCCTTCGTCAAGCCAGGCGCGTAACGCCTCCATCACGTCGTCGCTGGTGCCATTCTCACGCCCCATAAGGGTGTTATTGGCCATTTCACAATGACGATAACGTCCCATAACACATAGTATAAGTCACAAAATTACTAACCAAAGTATGATAAATCCAAGAAAGGACACTAGGTCATGCAATTATAGGAGAACATCTCATAACGAGTTATTCTTTGGAATAACTCATGTTGAAGATAAATTTAAGAAGTTCCTGTTACTAGTGACTAGGGGTGGACACGGTACCGTGACCGGCAACGGTACCGCCGGTACCCGCCACCGTCACCGCCGGCCGGGACATTCCACCGGTTCCGGGAACCGGTACCGGCACCGCCCCCAACGGTACCGGTTCCAGTACCCATTTTTCGGTACCGGCACCGGCGGTACCGGTTCTGGTACCTTTTTTTTTGTCCAGCCTCCAGCGGTCCATCCCCTCCAGCTCCAGCAAGGCAACAATTCAAGGTCCAAAACTCCAAAGCTGCAAGTCAACAATTCCTGCAAAAAAAAAAGTAGTAAAACAAGTTAGTGGGGGGTGGGGGAGTGGGGGACACATATTTAAATAACAAGATTTAAACAACAACTACATTTTTAAATTTTTTTATTTCATTCTTTTCTTTATAAATTGCATTTTTAGATTTTTTATTTCATTCTTTCTTTTAACAATTGCACATTTACAATTTTACACTTTAAAAATTTAATAAAAAAGCAAAACAAATAATAATTTGGGGGTGGCCGGTCCGGTACCGGAACCGCCGGTCCGGGTTGCGAAACCGGTACCGGCCGGTCCGGTCACGGTACCTAGGGATGGCAATGGGTCGGATTTGGTTCGGATATACCTTTACCCGAAACCGACCCGAGATTTTGATCGGATATTTTTTTTTGCCTGAACCCGAACCGTCGGGTATAAAATCCTACCCGAACCCGAACCCGACTGCCTAAACCAAAACCCGAAACCGCAACCGAACCCGAGAATTTGACAAAACCTAAGCCTAACCCGACCTGAAAACCGACCGATCCGACTGACCGACCCGTAGTGGAATGGAAGGAAAAGCAGGAAGAGAGAGTTCACCTGAGATTGCCGCTGTGCTCGCCGATGGAGAATAAGAAGAATCGCCGGTAGGAGGGCTGCGGAGTGCCGGCTGCGGATACGAGAAACGGAGAGGAGAATCGGAGATCTCAGGTCGCGACTCGCGACTAGGGTTCCAAACAGCCGCAAGTGTAAGTCCAAGTCCAAGTCCTTAAGTCCAGACAGCCGCAAGTATTTGCTTTGTACTTTTAATTTTAAAAGGTTTTTTTATATTTTAAAAAGACCTTTTATTTCGGGTTAATTATCGGGTCGGTCGGGTACGGGTCGGGTTGGTCAGATTTAATTACAGAAAACCGACCCGACAAAAGTCGGGTTCGGTTTTAAAATCTTCGGGTCGGTTTCGGATATTAATTTTTTCGGTCGGATTCGGATATTATATACTTCGGTCGGGTCGGAAAAAGTCGGATTCGGATAAAATTGTCATCCCTAACGGTACCGGTACCAAGGGGTGGCGGTACCGGAACCGGCAGTTCTGGAACCGGAACCGTACCGTGTCCACCCCTACTAGTGACACAAACTTAACAAGCTTTTCATGGTGTTGCTTATTATATCTATGAAAAGTTAAGATATTTTACAGAGATTAAAAATTTAAAGAGACCAATTTTTTTGAAGGAACTAAAAATATATTTAAGATCAATGGGGTTGTAGTGACACCGTCTTTTGGTGACACTAGCGGTGCCAGTGTCATTTTGGGACACTTCCAGTGCTCCGTTCGTAAAATTGATGGTTCCTACCCCCTAACCCACCCACAAAACGTGTGGCTATTATGCAATGATAGTGGGAGGCTTACGGTGGTGTTGGGGTGGGGTGCAGGGGCGGGGATAGTGTGGGGGATTTAGGGATGAAATAGGGTAAGAACCATAAATCTTACGAACGAAGCACCAGAAGTGATCCAAAATGACAGTGACACCGGAGTGTCACCACACTCCAGTGTCAGTAGAACACCACCAATTTATAAGATAACACTACTGAATTATTACAGTTTTTGCAAAGAGAGATACACCAAGCTTCACTCCGGATTCTTTCTGCTAAGGTGATGCCTGTTGATTCTGTTCTGAAATCTGAATTTGGTTTCGTCCCTTCCATTCTTTTACCCTTTTATTTGAATGCGTATACTCCATATGTCTGTATTTTCATCAAAGGCGTTCACTCTTACAGCCTTAGATCACCCGCAAACACTTAAAAACAGTGCGAATTTCGTACTCAGTTCTCAGTTGCGACTTTGCACACGAAGTACTCGTTGATTTTCCCCAAAAAGATAGACGAGTACTCTGTGTTTCAGATTAATTACTGAGTGTTTCCCCACATGCTTATAATTTCTTTGAATGTGTTTTATATCTGGGTAGATTATGAGTAATGGAAATACAGCAAGATTCCAGTGTCAACGGATGACACTCGCTCATTTTGAGCCCCTCTGATGCTCTAAATAAAAAATTAATGGTTCCTACCCACCCTAACCCCCTCCTAACCCCACAACACCCCCAACTGAGCCCGGCCCCTGCACCCCCACCCTAGACCCCCTTTTACTCCCTTCAAATGGCTATTATGCATTTGAAGGGGTGGGGGTGCTGTGGGGGGTTTAAGGAAGGGGGTAGGGGTAGGAACTATCAATTTTACGAGCGGAGCAAGGAAGAGTTTGAAATGAGCGAGTGTCATCCGTTGACATTGGAATCAGTGTCAACAGAACTTTGCCGATAGAAAAATGTTAATAAAGTTGGATTCTTTATTATTCCCTCCAACGTGAGTAGTCCACTAAACACACAGTTTCCTTCGTTTGATTCATGAAATGAGACAGACTTGTGAACATTGCATTGCTTCTTTGAGGCTGTTGGCATTTTCATGTCCCAGCCCTACTTGTATGTATGCATTCATGCATAATTGCATATTCTACCATTTCATTTGCGAAATGAAATCTTAAGCTTCTTTAATGTACAGACTGTGAAGTTCATGATGAGTGCAAGTTCAACACTTTATACGAATGGTTTTATTCATTCTTCATCGAGGTATGCATCTTTTCAAGTTGTAAATGGAATCTTTGATTTTCTTTCTCTTAAAATAAGTAAATATATTGACTATTGCCAATAGCTTAATTTGTCCATAGGATCTTCTTTCCAGGAGAGGCTCTTTATATTTGACACGGAGTTCATTTTTAAACGAGGGATTTCACATTAAACAGCTCACTGGATTCAAGTGGAATGGTCAAGGTAGAAAGCGTGCAGGTAGCTAACACAGAGTGTTTCCTGTTAATTTTATAATTTAAGGCATTTTTAATTAAGCCAAAATTGCTGATTGTTTGCAAAATGACATGGAAGTTGTTAACCAACACCCTTGTATTCCATCCATCCCACTAAGTTGGGGACATGGGGGGTTGACACCCAAACAAAGTGGAATTGTGTGGCTGATCTTAAATATATAAAGTGGATAAAATAAGGATGACGTAAGACCAATTAGATATGGAGTGAAACAAAGATTGTGAGGCAAATACAAATGGAAAAAATGAACAAAGATAGTGGGGAGTGGAAGTGCTTCGTATCTGCCTTTTTCTCAACAATGAACAAACTTAACTCAACAAATTGTGGCCTTGTTTATACAATGGTAAACCCTCTACTACAACAACAACAACAAAAAACAAACCCAAATCAATACCAACTCCATTGGGTTTTTT